ATTTCTACAATTTCTAGTAATATAAGTTTGATTGAAGGCTCCGGAAGAGCTACTGTATTTCTGCCTAAGGGAACAAAACTTATTATAAACAATGCATTATTCTCCTCCAAGTCCCGAAGAAACTTGTTGAGTTTTATGGATATCCTCCGAAATAGGTATCATGTTGAGACGATAGATAAAATGAATATGGAATATCTTTGTATTACAAAGAATGTTTCTGGCCAGAAGTGCATTGTAGAAAAGTTGCCAACTTTATCTTCTCGCTTATACTATTCAAAGATTAGTAAAGTTGAAGCACACTCTATCGTAAACCGAAAGTTTACTTATTCAAATACTTTTGTACTTTGGCATGGCCGTTTGTGTCATCCTGGATTAATAATGATGAGACGAATTACTGAAAATTCGAGTAGGCATCCATTAAAGAAGTTGAAGATATTTATAAATGAAGAATTTTCTTGTGATGTTTGTTATCAAGGCAAAACGATCACTAGACCATCACCAATGAAGGTTGGCATTGAGTCTCCTGCCTTTTTAGAGCGTATACATGGGGATATATGTGGACTTATTTATCCACCAAGTGAGTTGTTCAGATATTTTATGGTCCTAATATATACATCTTCAAGATGGTCTCATGTGTGCCTACTATCATCTCGCAGCCTGACGTTTGCAAAGTTATTAGCCCAAATAATTCAATTAAGGGCATAATTCCCAGATTATCCTATAAAGGCTATTCGCCTTGATAATGTTGGAGAATTCTCATCTCAAGCTTTTGATGATTACTGTCTATTAGTTGGGATAAAAGTTGAACATCTTGTAACTTATGTTCATACTCAAAATGGCCTTGAAGAATCATTTATTAAACACCTGCAGTTGATAACAAAACCACTACTTATGAAAATAAAATTGCCCACTACTGTTTAGGGCCATGCTATCTTGCACGCAACATCACTTATCCGTCTCAGACCGACACATTATAATAAATATATTCCGTCACAATTAGTTTTTATTCATGAACCAAATATTGCCCATCTATAAATTTTTGGATGTGTTGTATATGTGCCAGTAGCACCACCACAGCGCAGTAAGATGGACCCGCAAAGAATGTTAGAAATATATGTTGGGTTTGAATCATCCTCTATTATTCGCTATCTTAAACCATTGACGGAAGATTTATTTACTGCTCGATTTGCAGATTGTCGATTTAATAAAACAAATTTTCCACAATTAGGGGGAGAGAAAAAGGAAATCAAAAGAGAAATTGTGTGAAAAGTTTTATCATTATCTCACTTTGATCCACGTACCCCTATATGTAATCAGGAGGTCCAAAAGATCATCCATTTACAGAATATAGCAAATCAAATGCCAGACGCATTTACTGATTTGAAAAAGATAATTAAGTCACATATCCCCGCAGAGAATATTCCTATCCGAATTAATGTCCCGGCAGGATCATCTACTAGCATGAGAGCTAGTGAACCTAAAAAATGCCTGAAGCGTGGTAAGCCTCTGGGTTCTAAGGATCGAAATCCTAGAAAAAGAAAATCGACAAATGATCGAAATGATATTATGAAGGGATCTCCTGAAGAGACCCAAGATCTGATTAGTTCTGAGATTCCTGAAGAAATCAATGAACCCGAGACTCAAGTGAGTGAGGAACTTTTAATAAGTTCTACTGGTGATGGGATTAATTTAAATCGATCCGAAATAGTGGTGGATAATATTTTTGCATATAATATTGCACTTAACATTATGCAAGATAGTGAGAATCTTGAACCCCGATCTGTCGAATAATATCGACAAAGATATGATTGGCAAAAATGGCAAGAGTCAATTCAATAGGAATTGAAGTCACTTGCTAAAAGAGAGGTCTTTGGACCAGTAGTCCAAACATCTGCTGGTATAAAGCCAGTTGGTCATAAATAGATTTTTGTGCGAAAAGGGAATGATAAAAATGAAGTTGAAAGATACAAGGCTCGCCTTGTTGCACAAGGATTCTCATAACGACCTGGAGTCGATTATGAAGAAACATATTCACCTGTTATAGATGCCATAATATTTCGATATCTCATTAGTTTAGCCTTACGTGAAAGGCTTGAAATACATCTAATGGATGTGGTTACAGCTTATCTATACGGGTCACTTGATAATGAAATTTATATGAAAATCCCTGAAGGATTTAAAATGCCTGAAACATATTCAAAATCTCGGGAAATGTACTCAATCAGATTACAAAGATTTTTGTACGGTTTAAAACAATTTGGGCGCATGTGGNCCTGAAGGATTTAAAATGCCTGAAGCAAAATCTCAGGAAATGTATTCAATCAGATTACAAAGATCTTTGTACGGTTTAAAGCAATCTGGGCGCATGTGGTATAATCGCCTTAGTGAATATTTGCTGAAAGAAGGTTACATAAATGATGTTATTTGTCCATGTATTTTTATAAAGAAAATGGCATCAGAATTTGTTATACTTGCTGTTTATGTTGATGACATAAATCTTGTTGGAACTCCAGAAGAGCTCCAAAAGGCAATTGAATATCTTAAGAAAGAATTTGAGATGAAAGATCTTGGAAAGACAAAACTTTGTCTTGGTCTGCAAATTGAACATTTAGCAGACGGGATCTTTATCTATCAATCTGCTTATACAGAAAGGGTCTTAAAACGCTTTTACATGGACAAAGCGCACTCATTGAGTACGCCAATGGTTGTTCGATCACTTGAAGTGAATAAAGATTTGTTCCGACCTCCAGAAGAGGATGAGGAACTCCTTGGTTCTGAAGTACCCTATCTTAGTGTAATTGGTGCACTAATATATCTTGCTAATGCTACAAGACCTAACATAGCATTTTTTGTTAATTTACTAGCAAGATATAGTTCTTCTCTTACACTGCGATATTGGAACGGGATTAAGCATATATTGCGATATTTAAAGGGAACTTTTGATATGGGTTTATTTTATGCTAACAAAGATAGTGCATATCTTGTTGGTTATGCAGATGTAGGTTATTTATTTGATCCCCATAAAGCTAGATCTCAAACCGGGTACGTGTTTACATATAGAGGTACTATCATATCATGGCGCTCCACAAAGCAATCTATTGTTGCTACTTTTTCAAATCATGCTGAAATAATAGCTATTCATGAAGCAAGTAGGGAATGCGTATGGTTGAGATCAATAATTTATTTTATTCGAGAAAAATGTGGTTTGGAATGTGAGAAAAGACCCACAATTTTATACGAAAACAATGTTGCATGCATAGCCCAATTGAAGGGAAGATTTATAAAAGGAGATAGAACGAAGTACATTTCACCAAAATTATTCTACACACACGATCTTCAAAAAAATGGTGACATTGATGTGCAACAAATCCGTTCAAGTGACAATCCGACAGATTTATTCACTAAATCTTTACCAACTTCAACTTTTGAGAAAATAGAATACAAGATTGGAATGCGGAGACTCAAATATTTGAAACAAGATTTTTATCGGGGGGAGTAAAATACGTGATGTATTCTTTTTTCCTTACTGATGTTTTTTCCCATAGGGTTTTCCTTATAAGGTTTTTAATGAGGCAGTTAGAAATGTGTATTACTAAATATGTGTACTCTTTTTCCTTCACTAGGATTTTTTTCACTGGATTTTTCCTAGTAAAGTTTTAACGAGGCACTTTTAATGAACATCCAAGGGGAGTGTTATGAAAATAATTATATTGTGGATATCTATTTATTACTCCGCTATAGATAATCTTCTAAAGAAGATCACCATTTAGTACTTTGTTGAAGTTTATCTACAAGCAGCTGATGCAGGCAGGTTGCAAGCAGCTCAATGAAATTATTTGCAGCAGCTTCTTATTAAACAGGCAGGTTGCAAGCAGTTCATGCAGACAGCTTACAAGCAGCTAAAGAAAAGCCTTGCAGTTGCTTCCTTTCTTCTATAAATAGAAGAGTTTTCAGTTCATTATGTACATGAAGTTTGAATAATATATCTCTCTATATATACTTGTCTTCGATTTATTTACTTTACAATTTTTATTTTATAACAAAAATGACTTTTGTCACTTATTGATAGAAATTTTTTTTTTCAATAATTATCTCAATTTTTAACTTCATATCATTAAGCCAATCAACATTTATAAGTCTTTATCAATCTCTCATATACTTTTTCAAAAAGTGCCCTGGCCGATGACATTCTGTCTTAATTTATTTCACCCGTGAAAAAAGAAAAGGAGATGATTCACTTTCTTTTATTATCAACACATATCACTTAAAAGCTGTGTTTATCCCTTGTTTGCAATTCAAACTGCAGTCTAATTAAATCTCAGCTTTAAAAATATTCAAGCAAAATCCTCAAGGTTCGACTCAAAAATAATTGATCGCTGGATTAACGTATGGGTCTAAAAGACGTGGCCACGGACAACTTATCTAAGAAATTCTGTCGAGATATACAGATTTATGTTCAATAAAATGAAGGAACTTTTATACTACTTCAGCAAGTTTTCAAGAAATGAGAACAGAAATTTGTATATCTCGACAGAATTTCTTATTTATACAGTACTTCTTTTCGGACGATATGTCCGACAGACAAGCAAATTATAGCGGGAGCAGATAGGCTCACAGTCGCAGGTACTTCGACCGATTAAGGCGGAGAAGATATAAACTCAGACCAAGTGCTGTAGGTGAATTTCAAACCTAAAATCTAGACAGCATCCTATTTTTGCCATCAGGAATCGTGCATTGGTAGTGAAGACTAACGGATGACTGACAATTTACTTATTACTCCTTCCTTCCGCTTAAAAAAGATTCAGTTTAAATTAGCACAAACTTTAATAGATATGTGATCTTAAATAATAATAACATTTGTGTAGTTGTAGAACTTGCAGTGCAATAACATCTATATAACTATGAATGCTTCCTATTAAGGAAATATTGAAAGGTGTCAATCTTTATAAAATACACTAATAAGGAAATAAAAGGAGATGGAGGGAGTACTATTTCGGTTCTAAGCAGGGGAAAACGGAATTATCCATAAGAGACGAGACCCAGGATCATCAAATGTGCCCATAAAACTTGAGGAATATGCCACTGCCATTATCTTTGACAGTAGAATCTGTACAGCAATTGAACATAAGATTACAAAAGAAGAGTTGTACAGGTACAACACTTCGAACTCAGAAGCCATGACTAAAAGCATGTGTTCAGAATTTAATTTTCCAGACATCAAATCTTTCTGTTCTTTGGCTGTGATTAGCTCCCTTCAGCATACATGCAGCCTGCGTTCATCAATTCATCTTCAAGGGTAGGATTTACTAACATAAGCTTCATATACATTGAGAATTTACATTTTATAAGTGAACACAGGCCAAGCCTCCAAGTGAAAAATAACGGCCATGTGTTTGTGCTGCTTCTGTAGGCAGGTATAGACAATGACCAATCAAGTTCGGTTACAAAAGTTTCATAGGTGTTCATAAATCATATCCTGCATCAAGAAAATCAGCAATTGCTCATTTTATGGATCTCAGCGACAAAATTAATGATAAAAAGAAAGGATGAACGTGGTTCGTTGTCAAATGAAAAATATAATGAAGAGCGGTAATGTGAATCAAGAGAAACTCCATCCTTTTCCTCATATACATCTTGGAAAAATGATGACCAAACAGTGGAAGGTAGAAAGAGGAAAAGAAGGGGGTGGGTAGAAGAGAAGGAAAACAAAGTGGACCTGATTGCATATTGGGCATGTTTGACTTCTTTCCATCCACTCAAGAATGCATGAAAGATGAAAATGGTGGTTACATTTTGCAACTATTCTTGGATTGTCAGCATCATATTCTGCAAAACAAGTGCAAAGGATAGACACCAAGACTATAAGCCAATCACAAACAGGTTGATTAAAAAAGCAAAAGGTACGGAGGAGGGCAAAAGTGAAGTCGCCTCTCCAAAAATGTCCATTGTATATACCTTCAAGACATGTGGGACAAACATCCTCTTCGTCAGCTGATTGAATAATAGGTGGATTTGATTTTACAAGGCCAATCCCTGTTTTCTTTAGGGAGGCAAGAAGAAATTCTGTTTCAGCTTTGCAATCAGATTGCTTAATATCTTTACAAGTACTCTCATAGCTATTGTGAAGTAATGGTTCTTCTGTGAACTCGGAACCCCTGGACTGTGGATGCCCCAAAACTACTTCAAACGGAATTGGTGCAGGAGGAGCACGGTAAGTGTCAGGTGTTGATCTGTCTAGGTTCAAATCATCCAGGAAGCCAGAGGTAAGTGCAGTAGCAGCGCTATCATCAGATGTCAAGGACTCATACTCTTCAGAAGCTGGTGGGAACTGCAGAAAGAAGACGGGAACTCTATGGTCAGAGCTTGAGAAGAAAAGAAGGCCATAGGAAAAAGGTTATATTAGGAAGAGCGATCAATGAACAAAAAAGGTGCGAGTCCATCTGCAGAGGACACAAGTAGTAAAACTGATGCGTATGACTTCAGAGAGCATACAGTATATACAAAATCAGTTGCTTTCTTTTTCCTTCAAGTTTGAGTTTCATCACGAATACAATCACTGCGTTCAGGTTTATAAGGAACCAAGAACTGAATCAAGTATTCAAGTTTCTCCTTATATAAAATCAGTAGAGGTCTTTCGATGTTGCTTAATAGAACAATGCATGAGCCGAACTTACTATTAGTACAATATTTTGAGGAACTGTTTTAGCAGGTAACACACTTACATTCAATAAGCCATCATTTTAAGAAATATCATAATATCAGCAAGCACAGACAAGTCCAAAAAGGACAATGTTATAGAAAGTGAATGCATCAATAGGACAAAATCTGGAAGAACTTATGCTAGTTGGATGTTTCCATATGTAGACTGATCGGAATCATTACTAACATAGTAAAAGATTGGTGTTCCATGAAGCTGGGGCGGCTTCCTTGAAGAGCAACAGCAACCTCCCATTCCTAGCAGTTATTTTAGTTGTCAATGTATATGTCGTATTTCCTGACACATTATCTTCTCCTTTCGTATGTATAGGCAAGGCACTGCTGAAACAAAAAAGGGAGAGTGGGTGGCCATTTAGAAAATATACAGAGTAATCACAAAAAAGAAATGCTCGGTTAACAAGGAGTAAGGCAACAGAGATATGAAGACAAGGATCAAGAATACTGCACAAAAGAGCTTCTTGAAACAACAACATAAAACTACTTTCTGTTGGATCTCACGTAATACACGTCAGCTATAACAATTTAGGACCAAGCTAAGTACTTAGTTTATGCTCCTCCGCATAGTTTGAAGAAACATTTTTGCTTTTCTTCAATTTCTATACTGAAAGTCCCTAATTCTATGATAACAAAGACAAATCATAGGTGGTTAAACTCACTTCTTTGCACGAAAACATTGATGTTAATACAGGCTGAGACACTCTTTGTACCGACTCTCAACCAACATGTTTCCTAATTAAAACAACAAAGACAAATCATAGGTGGTTAAACTCACTTCTTTGCACGAAAACATTGATGTTAATACAGGCTGAGACGCTCTTTGTACCAACTGTCAACCAACATGTTTCCTAATTAAAACAAGTTACGGAATAACGCTTAAAAAAAACTAGTCATGGAATAACACCACAGGAGTCACAGAATACAAGGTCATGTACAGGCTTGGCAATCCACCATTAGAATACTGATCTCGTCATCTGATTGAGCCTGCCCATTTCGATATGGAAACTTTGTACTAAACATGTTCCAAAGATTGCATATGGACCGACTTATAGAAGCAAATTATCTAATATGTATAAATCAGGCTTATAGTAACCCAATTAATTTGGGAGATTAGTGATGGTCTTTCCTATGGACTTGAACTTTGCCTAAGAATCATTGATTATGCTATATATTTACAAACCACAAGACTTCAACAACATTTTCTGGTTACAACTACTTCACCAACAAGCACTAGCACTTGTTAATTCAAACAAACTAATCCTTTGAGCAAATGTTAACTCACGAAAGGTGAAATACTGAAATGATAGCACAAACTGAGAAAACAGAAGCTTTACACAAGAAACCTGATCAGTAGACCACAACCAAATAAAATTTCACAAATTCTAACTACACCATCTTCAGTTTCAGAAGCATGCACATATACAGGCAGTGGCACACCAGAAAGACCATTGAGGAAAATTACAAACTAAGAAAAGCAGAATCTATACTCAATTAATAAACCAACCGGACAACAACAAAAACTTCACCTCAATTCTAAGCTAGTTGGGGTAGGCTATATAAACCCTCATCCAAACAAATTTCAGAAAATTAACTAAAACCACCTTCAGTTTCAAAAGCACATACATAAAGAAGCAGTGGCACACCAGAAATACCTAGAGAGAAAAAATAGAATCACTTTGCTAAAAGACAATAGAATTAATAGGACAAACTCAGAAAAACAGAATCTTTACACACTAAACCTGACCCATAGACCAGACACAATAAGTTTCAGAAGGCTAAACTACACCCACTTTCAGTTTCAAAAGCACAAACATACACAGTCAACTGCACAACAAAAAGAAGACAAACTGAGGAAAAACAGAAGCTTTACCTCGCCAAATATCTTGCTTCTTCTTTCTTCTGAAAAAGGTTTCTGCTTGAAATTAGTAACTAGATAGGTGAAAAACAGAATCTTTACTGAAGAAACCTGATAAATAGACCACACCCAAATAAATTTCAGAAAATTTAAAAACATATGTATAATAAAGAGGCAGCGGCAATACCTAAAAACAGAACCTTTACCTTACTAAAGATTCTTCTTTTTTGTGTTTGGTGAAAGAACAAGCTTGAAATGGAAATTAATGGGATGAAGAAGAATCTAAGACAGTGAATGGTGAAGGGGCTGCTGCTTGACTTTTGAGAAGGACAAGGAAAAAAACTGAACAAAAGGAGTTCCATTCATTGTTTTGTCACCTTTTTCAAACTTTTTGGTAGAGATGTGAGTTAATGCGAATAGTACAAAGTTTAGGGGTCGGCATAGAAAAAAACAAAATGATTTGTATAGAAAATTCGCGATGTTTTTGGATTCGACAAGTACAATAAGCTATCGGGACACAAAAAGTACAATATATTATAAAATAAATACAATAAAGTAAAAGACAACTATAGAAAAACTGATATATTATTCAAATTTGAAACTTATGTACATAATGAACTGAAAACTTTTCTATTTATAGAAGAAAGGAAGCAGATGCGAGGCTTTTCTTTAGTTACTTGTAAGCTGTCTGCATGAACTGCTGCTTGCAACATGTCTGTTTAATAAGAAGGTACTGCAAATCATTTTATTGAGCTGCTTGCAACCTGCCTACATCAGCTGCTTGTAGATAAATTTCAACAGAGTATTAAATGGATAATCTTGTTCAGGAAAATTATCTATAGCGGAGTAATAAATGGACATCCACAATATAATTATTTTCATAACACTCCCCCTTGGATGTTCATTAAAAGATATTGTGCCTCGTTAAAACCTTACTAGGAAAAAATCCTGTGGAAAAAATCCTAGTGAAGGAAAAAAGTACACATATTTAGTAATACGCATTGCTAGTTGCCTCATTAAAAACCTTATAAGGAAAACCCTATGGGAAAAAACCTTAGTAAGGAAAAAAGAATACATCGCGTATTTTACTCCCCCTAATGAAAACCTTGTTTCAAATATTTGAGTCTCCGCATTCCAATCTTGTATACCATTTTCTCAAAAGTTGAAGTTGGTAAAGATTTAGTGAATAAATCTGTCGGATTGTCACTTGAACGGATTTGTTGCACATCAATGTCACCATTTTTCTGAAGATCGTGTGTGTAGAATAATTTTGGTAAAATGTGCTTCATTCTATCTCCTTTTATAAATCCTCCCTTCAATTGGGTTATGCATGCAGCATTGTCTTCGTATAAAATTCTGAGTCTTTTCTCACATTCCAAACCACATTTTTCTCGAATAAAATAAATTATTGATCTCAACCATATGCATTCCCTACTTGTTTCATGAATAGCTATTATTTCAGCATGATTTGAAGAAGTAGCAACAATAGATTGCTTTGTGGAGCGATGTGATATGATAATACCTTCATATGTAAACACGTACCCGGTTTGAGATCTAGCTTTATGGGGATCAGATAAATAATCTGCATCTGCATAACCAACAAGATCTGCACTACCTTTGTTAGAATAAAATAAACTCATATCAAGAGTTCCCTTTAAATATAGCAATATATGCTTAATCCCGTTCCAATGTCTCCGTGTAGGAAAAGAACTATATCTTGTAAGTAAATTAACAGAAAATGTTATGTCAGGCCTTGTAGCATTAGCACGATACATTAGTGCACCAATTGCACTAAGATAGGGTACTTCGGGACCAAGGAGTTCCTCATCCTTTTCTGGAGGTCGGAATAAATCTTTATTCACTTCAAGTGATCGAACTGCCATTAGTGTACTTAATGGGTGTGCTTTGTCCATGTAAAAGCGTTTTAATACCCTTTTTGTATAGGCAGATTGATGGATAAAGATTTCGTCTGCTAAATGTTCAATTTGCAGACCAAGACAAAGTTTTGTCTTTCCAAGATCTTTCATCTCAAATTCTTTCTTAAGATATTCAATTGCTTTTTGGAGCTCTTCTGGAGTTCCAACAAGATTTATGTCATCAACATAAACAGCAAGTATAACAAATTCTGAAGCCATTTTCTTTATAAAAATACATGAAAAAATAACATCATTTATGTAACCCTCTTTCAGCAAATATTCACTGAGGCGATTATACCACATGCGCCCAGATTGTTTTAAACCGTACAAATATCTTTGTAATCTGATTGAGTACATTTTCCGAGATTTTGAATATGCTTCAGGCATTTTAAATCCTTTAGGGATTTTAATGTAAATTTCATTATCAAGTGACCCCGTACAGATAAACTGTAACCACATCCATTAGGTGTATTTCAAGCCTTTCACGTAAGGCTAAACTGATAAGATATCGAAATGTTATGGAATCCATAACGGGTAAATATGTTTCTTCATAATCGACTCCAGGTCGTTGTGAGAATCCTTGTGCAACAAGCCGAGCCTTGTATATTTCAACTTCATTTTTATCATTCCTTTTTCGTACAAAAACTCATTTATGACCAATTGGTTTTATACCAGCAGGTGTTTGGACTACTGGTCCAAAGACCTCTCTTTTAGCAAGTGACTTCAATTCCGATTGAATTGACTCTTGCCATTTTTGCCAATCATATCTTTGTCGACATTATTCGACAGATCGGAGTTCAAGATTCTCACTATCTTGCATAATGTTAAGTGCAACATTATATGCAAAAATATTATCCACCACTATTTCAGATCGATTTAAATTAATCCTATCACCAGTAGAACTTATTAAAAGTTGCACACTCACTTGAGTCTCGGGTTTATTGATTTCTTTAGGAATCTCAGAACTAATCAGATATTGCGTCTCTTAAGGAGATCCCTTCATAATATCATTTTGATTATTTATCGATTTTCTTTTTCTAGGATTTCGATCCTTAGAACCAAAAGGCCTACCACACTTCAGGCGTGCTTTAGGTTCACTAGCTCTCATGCTAGTAGATGGTCCTGTTGGGACATCAATTCGAATAGGAATATTCTCTGCAGGGATATGTGACTTAGTTATCCTTTTCAAATTATTAAATGCGTCTAGCATTTGATTTGCTATATTTTGTAAATGGATGATCTTCTGGACCTCCTGATTATATATAGGGGTATGTGGATCAAAGTGAGATAATGATAAAACTTTTCACATAATTTCTCTTTTGATTTCCTTTTTCTCTCCCCCTAATTATGGGAAATTTGTTTCATCAAATCAACAATCTGCAAATCAAGCAGTAAATAAATCTCTCGTCAATGGTTCAAGATAGCGAATAATAGAGGGTTATTCAAACCCAATATATATTCCTAACCTTCTTTGGGGGCCCATCTTATTGCGCTATGGTGGTGCTACTGGCACATATACAGCACATCCAAAAATTCGTAGATGGACAATATTTGGTTCATGACCAAAAACTAATTGTGACATAGAATATTTATTATAATGTGTCGGTCTGAGACTGATAAGTGATGTTGCGTGCAAGATAGTATGGCCCCAAACAGTAATGGGCAATTTTGTTTTCATAAGTAGTGGTCTTGCTATCAATTGCAGTCGTTTAATAAATGACTCTGCAAGGCCATTTTGAGTATGAACATAAGCTACAGGATGTTCAACTTTTATTCCAACTGATAGACAGTAATTATCAAAAGCTTGAGATGAGAATTCTCCAGCATTATCAAGGCGAATAGCCTTTATATGATAATCTGGGAATTGTACCCTTAATCGAATTATTTGAGCTAATAACTTTACAAACGCCAGGTTGTGAGATGATAGTAGGCACACATGAGACCATCTTGAAGATGCATATATTAGGACCATCAAATATCTAAACAGCACACTTGGTGGGTGAATAGGTCAACATATATCCCCATGTATACGTTCTAAAATGGCAGGGGATTCAATGCCAACCTTCATTGGTGATGGTCTAGTGATCATTTTGCCTTGATAACAAGCATCACAAGAAAATTCATTATTTGTAAGAATCTTCAGGTTCTTTAATGGATGTCCACTCGAATTTTCAGTAATTCATCTCATCATTATTGATTCGGGATGGCCCAAACGGCCATGCCAAAGCACAAAGGTATTTGAATCAGTAAACTTCCGATTTACGATAGAGTGTACTTCAACTGTACTAATCTTTGAATAGTATAAGCGAGAAGATAAAGTTGGTAACTTTTCTACAATGCATTTCTGGCCAGAAATATTCTTTGTAATACAAAGATATTCCACGTTCATTTCATCTATTGTCTCAACATGATATCCATTTCGGCGAATATCTATAAAACTCAACAACTTTATTCGGGACTTGGAGGAGAACAATGCATTGTCGATAATAAGTTTTGTTCCCTTAGGCAGAAATACAGTAGTTCTTCCGGAGCCTTCAATCAAACTTATATTACTAGAAATTGTAGAAATATTTGCTTTTTCCTTATGCAAATAAGAAAAGTATTTCTGATCTTTGAATATGGCATGAGTTGTTCTATTATCAATTACACAAATATCTTCATGATTGTTCTTTAATGAAACATAATTTGAGGATTATCCATATTCTTCAAAATGACATAAACAAAATAAATATGATAGTAAACATCACTTTCAAAGCATAACTTTTATTTATGTACAACAATTGCATAACCATACTATCTACTACAAACAACAAAAATTAAAATATTTACATCTCTCATGATTTATCACCGATCACATGACTTATTTCTCCTTCTAGGAGTGTAAAATAATCAGTTATATCCAAATGCATGAAGTCTAAATTATCTTCAGAAATAAAATTTACTTCAGCATTTTTCTCTGTCTTCTTCAGAGAGGCTTGATATAGCTCTACCAGGTGTTTTGGCGTACGACATATACGTGACCAGTGCCCTTTTCCTCCACATCTATAGTATGCATTTTCTGGCTTTGCTGCTTGCACCGCTTCATGCTTTTGTTCATTCCTTTTCCACTGCTGGTGGTGAGGAGGGTTCTTTGGTGCATTGTTATTACCACGATTAGAGTTTCCTCCCCGACCACGGCCATGACCACGACTGGGGCCACGTCCTCTTCCACGCTTAGCTTGGTGGAAGTTCGTCTCATTCACTTCAGGGAATGGACAAGAACCAGTAGGTCGGCTTTCATGGTTTTTCATTAATAGCCCATTATGTTGCTCGGCTACAAGAAGATGTGAGATAAGTTCAGAATACTTTTTGAATCCCATCTCTCGATATTGCTGATGTAGGAGCATATGGCATGAAAAATGATGAAAGTTTTCTCCAACATATCATGATCAGTAATATT